GAGATCCCGACTAGGGGATACCTTGAACCCTCTTCTTCCAACATCAAATGCATATATACATATATTCTATAAGAAGCTATATGCCAAGTTTGGTGACTCTAACTCTTATTATTTACCAACATTGTCCAAAAAACAGGATTTCGATATAGATTTGTATCGATTACTTGGAAACGGAGTAAGTTATCGACTACATCTAAAAGTCTCTAGCTCTTTTAGGTTCTGACATCTTTGCGTTTATACATACGAACAGACAGACAGACGGACGGACGGACAGACGGACAGACGGACAGACGACTCGGCTATTGATGCTGATCAAGAATATATATACTTTATGGGGTCGGAGATGCTTTCTTCTGCCTGTTACAAACATTTGGATTTTGCACAAATACAATATACCCTTTTTACACATTTTTAATGGGCTCAGGGTATAAAAACCAGACACTTGTTGCTTTCAACTTTAACGTAAAAAATGAAATTCTTGTTTGGGTTAGAAGTTCTGATCGTTTTGTGTTTTTATAATTTTCTCAGTGATTTAATACAAATATAATTTAAATCAATGCAAAATATATACGTGAAAGCACACACATATATTATTTAATTATTTTTTATTCGAAATGAAGTTATAAATTCTCAGAAAAAGCTGATGCTGCCACAAACAGCTTGAATTGCATATTTGTAATCAGCTTTTCGTATAACTACAAGCTAGCTGCAAAAGTGGTTTAATTTCTGCCAATGCTACATCGAATCCGGACAATTATTTATAGCAAAAATGCGTGTTGGCAAAATAAAATAGAAAAATAAATAGTTTTGGACAAGTCAATTGGCAAATGGCAAAACTATTTGCATAGAAATTTGTTTAAATATTTTGCCAAATAATATGACAAGCCAACAAATCGGAGTCGAGAGCTTGTCTATTTGCATTTGAATTGGCTTTTTGTGCTTTGATAAATTTGTGCCGAAAAAGTCAAAAAGGACATGCCCGGAAATTGAGTGTGTGCGTGCGTGTGTGTGCATGGTTGTGTGTGTGTGTGTGTGTGTGAAAGGCAAACACACAAAAGTTTTGATAATTTGCAAGTGTCGTTGACAATCGCAAATGTTTCCTGTGTGTCTGTCTCTCTGAGTGTGTGTGTGTGTGTGTGTATCCTTGATTTGACACTTTAAGTGAAATATGCAAATATCTGAGACGTGCAAATGCATTCAAACGTGCGTGTGTGTGTTCGTGTGTGTGTGTGTGTGTGGTATTGCCTCTTTGATTGACTTGTCAATAAGCTAATTTCAATATTTGCCCAGCTCACAAATGTTTGCTGAGAACACATAAAACTAATTAGCTGAGTATTTTATGATGATTTATATAGAAGCCCCTTTCTAACCCCTCCCCACCCGTAGACTGGTTGCACACGCAGTGTGCAATGCGATGCGCCGAGCCGCATAATTATAATGAAGCATTTTGTCTGCTGCCTTAACTTAACTTAACCCTAATTCCATGTTAGCGCGCGGTTTATCCACAGTTTAAACATTTCATTGTCTATACGCATACCTTATGCAGGTGTGACAAAAAGTGCTCGCTGCGCGCATTTCAAATGCGCCGTCTGCTAATTAAGTTGTGTGAAAAGACTAAGAAAAAAAAATATAATAAAATGGAGCAAGAAAAATAGTGAGAAGCAAAACTTAAATGAAATGAAAGCCAGGCCGAGCGGGGCACAATGCTGTCACATGCTCGGCAACGCATTGTGTTGCAGTTACTTTTGCTGCGCATCAAATAGAACAGATGCCGTTCTCAGCTCTAATGCGGGCAGCATGTGGCATGTGGCATGCCACCCCTTTGGAGTAGTTGTCCTTCTGCCCCGGCACAGACCTGACCACATTTTAATTGGGCTAAGCACACGACGCACTCGGCTGCATGTGTGACATGCTATTAGTGAAACTTTTAAATGAGTTAGTTGAGCAAAGCGGGTAATGCTGTTATGAGTTTGGGTTTGCCATTAAAAAAGCTGTGCTAGCTCTTACAGCTGGCACAGATTGTCACGTGCAAGCGGCAAAAGCCATTGTCTGTGTGTGTGTGTGTGTGTGTGTGTGTGTGTGTATACATATGTACTCATGTGTGCATAATTCATAAAACGATTCTTAGTAATCCTTGAAGTACTGTTAAGCCAGCTAAAAAGAGACTAACTGTCAGTTAAAAGTCAAAGAACTTCTCTAACAAACTGTGCACTTTCATTAACATTTCTATGTCATGCTTAACAGCTTACAATAACATTTGCATGTTACATTTAACAGGGAACTTTCATTATTCATTTTTATGTTATGTTTAACAGGGAACTTTCACATGAATTGCTAAGCACTTCATTAACATTTGTATGTTATGCTTAACAGCGCATTTTCAATAACATTTGTATGTTATGTTACTTTCATTATTCATTTTTATGTTATTTTTAACAGGGAACTTTCTAGAGATTCGCATAAAATGCTAAGTCCCTCATTAACATTCGCATGTCATGGCTAACATTATTTATATTTATGTTATGCTTCACATATGAATGCTTCGATATCTATCTTTTAGATTATATATATATAGTATTTAGGATTTGTTGAAAGTACTCATATTAACAGCATACAATTGTATTTAACACTCATTAACATTTGTCTGCAATGATTAGTAGCGCACATTCATTAACACTTTTATGACATGGTTAACAGCACACCCTACTTAACATCCATATGTAATACTTAACAGCGCATTATAATGTTAATTATTATGTCTTATGGCAACTTATATCAATCAAAATTTTGTATAACTAAAGTGTAAATTGTCCTGAATAACATTTATTTAACAGCGCGCTTTCCTTTTAACTTTTTGTGTTATAAAACAAAGCGATTACTTGTAAAACGTTTTTCCCATAACTATTACGTGTAATAGTCGCAGTTAAAATGCGCCCAATTGCTATGCTAAAAAGTTGACTATAAAATTGCAATTACCATGCGCGAACCCGTCGAAATTTTCTATTAATTGCGGCGTTTTTATTTGTAGAAATCAGTAGTGTGCGGTAATTAAGGCATAAGTGCACGCAATTAATTTGCAATTAGGCTCATGCAATAATTTTTGATTATTTCTTGTGCCACAAAAACGCCTCAATATGGTAACATGCCACTTGGCGTGGCATGCAGCAATTAACGCAAATTATATCGCCGATATATGATTGCATTATGCTCAAGCGCCGTCAGCCGGAGGCCGCAGGACGGCAGCTAGTGGAATGTTTTGGCTGTGGAATAATGCGAAAAACTCGCCATGGTAATGAAACAAAAGAATGCCGAGAGCGAAAAAATATTATTCAATTACGACAATGGTCATTGGGAATGTTGCAGCTTCTCCATACTCCATTGCCATTGATGGGCGTAAAATATGCGTTGCAATAAATACTTGAGGTTTACTTTTGTCCAGCCTGCTCCTCGGCCGCCCACTCACAATAAATTCCCCACAACAACAACAGCAACAACAACAAGCCTGTCCTCATTCACAATATTCGATTGAACGACCCAATAATATTCTTTTTTTTTAAGAGCTTTCCAATAATTGTGCACAGCGCATAACAAAAATCAACGAATTGCGACGGCTTTTGTTATCTGGATTTATGCCATGCACCCAACATGAATATGAGCTCTATTTATTAGGCTTATTTCGGCAGCAAATTGTATGTGAAATAATAGCAAAAAGTATATTTGGATCAACAGAAACGGCAATAGGCATTAGTTTCATGTGGTCCTCTTCCTTTCGCATTGTCCTTTCAAATAATTATGTGAAACAATTCTATATATATACACAACTTTTTGACAGCTTATCGCTTACGATTTAAACCAAAATTTAAACCAATTTTTATTATGGCTCTTAATTTTGACCATAGTTTAATTCGACATTTCGATGTGAGAGTCAAGTTTTCAGTTCAAATTTAAAGCTAACATAATTTGTTTGGGGCCGTAACTTTTTGGTCTTAAATTTGCCCTGACCTCGCACAAACCCATCGATAAATGCGATTTTTGTTCAAATTGCTTTCTATTCTGTTTTTCATTTGTTATATTTCTTTCTCTAAAATGTGCTCTAAGTACACGACTTTTATGAGCCAAAGCAATTGCATGACAAACAATTTCGCATGCACTTTTTGTTGCATGCATTGTGCAATATTTTCGTATAAAATGTTTGTCAAAAGAAGGATTTAGGTAAAGAAACTGCCAAAGGCAGACACAATTAGAGAAGAAGCTGTCCTGCAGCGACAACATCACTGTACTGGTCAGCAGTGGGCGTGGCACTGCCCTCCTCAACCCCGCACACCTGCTCAATAAAGCAGTAGGCTGCTGGCCGCATTGATAAAGCCCGGTGTCGGCTGGCTGGCAGCGACTCGCTCAATTTGCATAAAATTCAAATAAAATAAACGACAAACATTATAATCATTAGCCTGCGACCGCCTCCTGGGTGCTGTCCAGGCAGTTCCACGAGCAGGCGGGACTTTACCCAGTTGTTGCCGCCGCCTGATTGCAACGGGCGGAGCGTCCGCTGGGGCACGCTGACATATTTATGGAGTTTCTATGTTAACGAGCCGTAAATTAATTTAGCTAATGATATATGCAACACGGCAGCAAAACGCGTTACCAACTAGAGATGGACGCGGGCCACATTTCGTGAAAAAAGTTGTTAAAGAAAATGTGCTAGAAAAAGTCTGTATGTAATTTGTTATCCTTTTTCGCGACATTTTAATTTAAGGACTGCGACACTTTTATCGGGGCTAATAATAAAAATGCAAATGATATCGATAATTCGAGATAGGGATGACATTAACTGCGATATACAGATATATTTATCGATATGTCGATAGGTTAGGATTTATTGAGATTAACTATGATATTTAGAGAGTATTCAATGATTAAAGTGCCTGGGCTTTATTCTAGCCTCTGGTAGCTTCTCAAATAAATTTCGATGCCCGCGCACGGCCCGCGGCCATCTCTACCCATTAAATGCCTATCCAATCCTGCAGCGCGACTTTCTGCTGTTCGACCTGCTCGCCCAGTTTCTGTATCATGGCAAAAGAGATGAGCACCAGCAAATAGTTGAACACAATGGACGTGTACTGAAAGTGTACGGAAATTTTAGACGGACCAGCCGGACCATGACACGCGGCACACTTACCAGCGTAATCACGGTCTTGTTGAGCACCGTGCCCGTGCCGCTGGTGAATTCGATTTTGAACTGCACACGCCAGCGCATAATGGACTCGACCAGCTGCCTGATGGCGACGCTTTCCGGAAACCAATCATCCAACTGTTCCAGCAAATGCAGACACTTGCGTCCCTCGTCCACGCTGTGGCTGCAGTAGACTGGCCCGATGAGCATCTTGTAGAAGGGCACCAGCAGGCAGATGGACAGAAACCCGAGCAGCATGAGGCTCATGTCGTCCCCCGGCTCATTGCTGTTGTTATTGTTGTTGTTGTCGTTGGAGCGCCCGAATATGATGTAGAGCTCGCTGGTGCTGAGCGTAAAGTCGTGCGCCATGGCCGACCATAAGCTGAGACTGTAGACCCTATTGATTTCCTGTATCAGATAGTGTAGCTCTTTGACCATATCGACCAGGCTGCAAACGCGTCGCTCCAGCAGCTGCGGCTGTCCGCCAAAGCGCCTGTGGAGCAACTGCGGCTGCAGCAGCTGCTGCAGCAGGCGAAACCGTATGCCGAGCAGCTCGGCCAGACTCATGTGCACAAAGCCCGTCAAATGCGGCCCGCTGGTTATGATCAGGTAACACAAAGCGGCGGGCACCACAATGCCCAGCTGACGACCCTTGGCCAGGCTCGCCAGGCCCGTGTTCACAGCCCCAAAGTACAGCACGGCGACCATGGAGAGCACCAGCATGTGCTTGCGCAGCAGCTTCCTATAGTTGAGCCGTGCTCCAAAATGCCCGATCAACTGTTTGTCCAGCTCGGCCAGCCGCTGGTAGATGCGCAAATTTCGCTGTGCCCAGGCCTGCAGCGATAGCATTGTGAAGAGGAACACAAGCGTCGAGATGACCAGCTCCAGGCACATGATGCTCAGCACCAGCTTGTCCAGCCGCAGCACACGCTGACGCAGCAGCTGGTTCTGCATCAGGATGTGCACCGTGCCGGCCAGGCCCAGCACGGCCAGGCAGGCGCAGCTCAGCGAATAGAGGCGCGTCCATTTGTTCATTACAAAGCGGCCGCCGCGCTCAAAGAAGCCGCTGCAGCACAGTGCGAACTGCAGTCGGCTAATGAGACTCACGCATTCGTACAGCGTTTCCGGTTCCGGAAAGCAATAGAAAATGGCCATGCGGAGAATAAATCAAGTCGCGGTCAGGCTCGGTCGACGCTTCAACACACATTGACTGACATCGTGTTGGCGTCCACAATCCTTGTGCGTGCATAGATAATCATCTAATTAATAGCTAATTGTCATATTCCATGCTTTAATAAAGCTTATGGCATATATCTGTGGCAGAGGCAATCGATTGTAGCCGACTGCAGAATACCCTGCTTATAGCTGAAAATCGTTCTCGTTCCACTCTTAGAATATCGATAACTCGAAGACTATAGGAGCTTGGTTTGTAGTTTCTCCTTTTGTATAAACATTTAAGGACTATTTCACTTTTTGGGTAAGAATCGAATTTAATGGGTAAATCCTCGTTGCGCTTTGGTATATAGACACATTTTGGTGGCAGCTTTAGGAGTATATAGGAATATAGGACTTTGAATTGGTCGATTTTTTATACATCGTAAAGCAAAGAAAAGTTTTGTTATCGACAGTTTCAAAACAGAAGCAGCTGGGAGAAAAAGCACTCTCCTTCCACTCCTTGTCCAATCCATATTAATTTATTTAAAATTTCATAAATAAAATAAAGTATGAATTTAAATGCGAATCCCTTTATTTTTCACTTAAATACCAATTGATTGTTAAACCCTATTATTATTAAATGTTAGGCGTAATTATTGTTGAATTATTGTGCTTCTTTCTTTGTTTAATGTTGACCATTTCGATGGCTTGCGCATAAATCTTGATGAGACCAATGGAGTCGCTGGGCCTGTCTGCGAAATTCTCAGTTATTTTAATGGAAAACGCGTAAAAGCCTAACGGGAAAGTCGGCAGAAAAGTCTCATCAATGTTCAAGTTCCGTGCGATCAGATGATTCTATGGATAAAAAATGTCGCAGTGCATCGAAGTCTGGAATTATTTAACTGGATTTTACCGTGACTGGGCAAGTATGATTGACATTCGTATAGATCTTCATTACTTTACGCATAATCGGTGCATAGGGCAGGTACTTTCTGCTGGACAGCATATCGCAGGCATTGAATGTAACATTGATCAGAAACGGATGATATTGGTTGTTATTATTCTTTTTGAGCACTGCGAATTCGATCTGCAAGGTGAGTTATGTTCATTTCAAATGCGATTCATTTCTAGCTATAAACAACGCCTAGCTATGTTTACCGATGTATTACGCAATGGCAAAATGAGATCACAGTCCATTTGAGCGACTGCCTTATTCCAATTGATGGCCTTGATGGAGCACGAGATGTTCTCGACGCGTTTCGGATTGGCGGTGCACTCGATGTTTTTCAATTTATACACAATCTTTGGATCGGTGCACTATAGAAGAGAATGTGCCTACAATAATTGAGCAATCCTTTGAATAAATCTCATTTCACTTTACCACTCTCCCGACCAGCACAAGGCACACGATGACCGTCAGCGGAAGGTACATTGCGACAACTGCCAACTATTCGAATTAATTCAACTGATATTTATGTATATATATCAATTGATTTTCGGTTTAAATGTGCGTCTAATGTGCTTTTAATCGAAATATTTAATGAGGCGAAAATATCGCGTTTCTGAGCAATAATAGTTTATATTAATTTCACAAATTTGCGTCTGTCTGTGCGCCAAACTGAATGCGTATGACATCCGGAAACATAGTAAAAAAATAATATACAATTTTAAAGAGCTGATTATGCAGAGTTTATTTCTCGCTCGAATTCCGATGCAAAGTGCTGCATTCCACCTCCCGCCCAACGCAACGCGGGGCGCAGTCAAAATCGAATACAAACTAAGACCTACTTGGTAAATAGTTCGGATCATATGACTTATACGAGGCAGAGACGAGAGCAGAATACTCTGTAATGCCTGTTGTAATCATCACAGAGGACCCGGAATTGTGCATGGATCAACATTTAAATAGGAACAAAGAAGCGTAACTGGCTAAGGTTATTCAAAGAAAGAAAGAAAGATACAATGTCCCATCTCTAGTCCATTTAAACAGGAGTCGCAAAGTTGTCTAAAACGTCTCTCATATTAACTTTTTCCCATTAAAGAACAATATTGCTTAAATTTGAAGAGCAGAAGTAAAGAATAGTCGCTTTTCTTTCTCGCAAAAGATCGATTAACTTAATGTTTACTTTTTAAATGGTTTTAATTATTAGATTGAACAAACCATAATTGCGTGTAAATTGAATTAAGGTCGTGCACTCTGCCAATTCTTTATATACTCATATAGGTTCCCTTTTTATACCCTGAACCCATTAAAAATGGGTATATTGTATTTGTGCAAAATCCAAATGTATGTAACAGGCAGAAGGAAGCTTCTCCGACCCCATAAAGTATATATATTCTTGATCAGCATCAATAGCCGAGTCGATCTAGCCATGTCCGTCTGTCTGTCCGTCCGTCAGTCCGTATGTATGAACGCAAGGATCTCAGAATCTATAAGAGCTAGAGAAATTTTAGATTTAGATGCTCCTAGTTCCCGCGCAGATCGAGTTTGTATCCGATAATCGATAACTTACTCCGTTTCCAAGCAATCGATACAAATCGATATCGATATCCTGTTTTTTTGACAATTTTGGTAAATAATAAGAGCTAGAGTCACCAAACGTGACATATAGCTTCTAAAATAGAATAAATATATGATATAGGATTTTTCTTCATGGTTTTCCTTCTAGATTAATCTGGCATTCAAATCTGAACACCGATTATTTAGTCGAAATGCATGTCCAAATCTTACCCCAAGATTCGTATATAGACATGGGTCAAAATTTACCACCCCCATAACTCGGTCAAATCTCATCCGATTTTCACGAAGTTTAGCTTTTTCTTCATGGTTTTCTCTCTAGATTAAACTGGCATTCAAATCTCGACACCGATTTTTTAGTCGAAATTCATCTCCAAATCTTACCCCAAGATTCATATATAGACATGGGTCAAAAATGACCACCCCAGAACTCGGTCAAATCTCATCCGATTTCCACGAAGTTTGGCTTTTTCTTTATGGTTTTCCATTTAGATAAATCTGGCATTCAAATCTCGACACCGATTTTTTAGTCGAAATTCATGTCCAAATCTTACCCCAAGATTCGTATCTAGACATGAGTCAAAATTTACCACCCCCATAACTCGGTCAAATCTCATCCGATTTCCACGAAGTTTGGCTTTTTCTTCATGGTTTTCCCTCTAGATTAATGTGGCATTCAAATCTCGACACCGATTTTTTAGTCGAAATTCATGTCCAAATCTTACCCCAAGATTCGTATCTAGACATGGGTCAAAATTTACCACCCCCATAACTCGGTCAAATCTCATCCGATTTTCACGAAGTTTGGCTTTTTCTTCATGGTTTTCCCTCTAGATTAATGTGGCATTCAAATCTCGACACCGATTTTTTAGTCGAAATTCATGTCCAAATCTTACCCCAAGATTCGTATATAGACATGGGTCAAAAATTACCACCCCCATAACTCGGTCAAATCTCATCCGATTTTCACGAAGTTTGGCTTTTTCTTCATGGTTTTCCCTCTAGATTAATGTGGCATTCAAATCTCGACACCGATTTTTTAGTCGAAATTCATGTCCAAATCTTACCCCAAGATTCGTATCTAGACATGGGTCAAAATTTACCACCCCCATAACTCGGTCAAATCTCATCCGATTTTCACGAAGTTTGGCTTTTTCTTCATGGTTTTCCCTCTAGATTAATGTGGCATTCAAATCTCGACACCGATTTTTTAGTCGAAATTCATGTCCAAATCTTACCCCAAGATTCGTATCTAGACATGGGTCAAAAATGACCACTACCATTTCTCGGCCAAATCTCATCCGATTTTCACGAAGTTTGGCTTTTTCTTCATGGTTTTCCCTCTAGATTAATGTGGCATTTAAATCTCGACACCGATTTTTTGGTCGAAATTCATGTCCAAATCTTACCCCAAGATTCGTATATAGACATGGGTCAAAAATTACCACCCCCATATCTCGGTCAAATCTCATCCGATTTTCACGAAGTTTGGCTTTTTCTTCATGGTTTTCCCTTTAGATTAATCTGGCATTCAAATCTCGACACCGATTTTTTAGTCGAAATTCATGTCCAAATCTTACCCCAAGATTCGTATATAGACATGGGTCAAAAATTACCACCCCCATAACTCGGTCAAATCTCTTCCGATTTCCACGAAGCTTGGCGTTTTCTTCATGGTTTTCCTTCTAGATTAATCTGGCATTCAAATCTCGACACCGATTTTTTAGTCGAAATTCATGTCCAAATCTTACCCCAAGATTCGTATATAGACATGGGTAAAAAATTACCACCCCCATAACTCGGTCAAATCTCTTCCGATTTCCACGAAGCTTGGCATTTTCTTCATGGTTTTCCTTCTAGATTAATCTGGCATTCAAATCTCGACACCGATTTTTTAGTCGAAATTCATGTCCAAATCTTACCCCAAGATTCGTATATAGACATGAGTAAAAAATTACCACCCCCATAACTCGGTCAAATCTCTTCCGATTTCCACGAAGCTTGGCGTTTTCTTCATGGTTTTCCTTCTAGATTAATCTGGCATTCAAATCTGAACATCGATTTTTAGTCGAAATTCATGTCCAAATCTTACCCCAAGATTCGTATATAGACATGGGTCAAAAATTACCACCCCCATAACTCGGTCAAATCTCTTCCGATTTCCACGAAGCTTGGCGTTTTCTTCATGGTTTTCCTTCTAGATTAATCTGGCATTCAAATCTGAACATCGATTTTTAGTCGAAATTCATGTCCAAATCTTACCCCAAGATTCGTATATAGACATGGGTCAAAAATTACCACCCCCATAACTCGGTCAAATCTCTTCCGATTTCCACGAAGCTTGGCGTTTTCTTCATGGTTTTCCTTCTAGATTAATCTGGCATTCAAATCTCGACACCGATTTTTTAGTCGAAATTCATGTCCAAATCTTACCCCAAGATTCGTATATAGACATGGGTAAAAAATTACCACCCCCATAACTCGGTCAAATCTCTTCCGATTTCCACGAAGCTTGGCATTTTCTTCATGGTTTTCCTTCTAGATTAATCTGGCATTCAAATCTCGACACCGATTTTTTAGTCGAAATTCATGTCCAAATCTTACCCCAAGATTCGTATATAGACATGAGTAAAAAATTACCACCCCCATAACTCGGTCAAATCTCTTCCGATTTCCACGAAGCTTGGCGTTTTCTTCATGGTTTTCCTTCTAGATTAATCTGGCATTCAAATCTGAACATCGATTTTTAGTCGAAATTCATGTCCAAATCTTACCCCAAGATTCGTATATAGACATGGGTCAAAAATTACCACCCCCATAACTCGGTCAAATCTCTTCCGATTTCCACGAAGCTTGGCGTTTTCTTCATGGTTTTCCTTCTAGATTAATCTGGCATTCAAATCTGAACATCGATTTTTAGTCGAAATTCATGTCCAAATCTTACCCCAAGATTCGTATATAGACATGGGTCAAAAATTACCACCCCCATAACTCGGTCAAATCTCTTCCGATTTCCACGAAGCTTGGCGTTTTCTTCATGGTTTTCCTTCTAGATTAATCTGGCATTCAAATCTCGACACCGATTTTTTAGTCGAAATTCATGTCCAAATCTTACCCCAAGATTCGTATATAGACATGGGTAAAAAATTACCACCCCCATAACTCGGTCAAATCTCTTCCGATTTCCACGAAGCTTGGCATTTTCTTCATGGTTTTCCTTCTAGATTAATCTGGCATTCAAACCTCGACACCGATTTTTTAGTCGAAATTCATGTCCAAATCTTACCCCAAGATTCGTATCTAGACATGGGTCAAAATTTACCACCCCCATAACTCGGTCAAATCTCATCCGATTTTCACGAAGTTTGGCTTTTTCTTCATGGTTTTCCCTCTAGATTAATGTGGCATTCAAATCTCGACACCGATTTTTTAGTCGAAATTCATGTCCAAATCTTACCCCAAGATTCGTATCTTGACATGGGTCAAAAATGACCACTACCATTTCTCGGCCAAATCTCATCCGATTTTCACGAAGTTTGGCTTTTTCTTCATGGTTTTCCCTCTAGATTAATGTGGCATTTAAATCTCGACACCGATTTTTTGGTCGAAATTCATGTCCAAATCTTACCCCAAGATTCGTATATAGACATGGGTCAAAAATTACCACCCCCATATCTCGGTCAAATCTCATCCGATTTTCACGAAGTTTGGCTTTTTCTTCATGGTTTTCCCTTTAGATTAATCTGGCATTCAAATCTCGACACCGATTTTTTAGTCGAAATTCATGTCCAAATCTTACCCCAAGATTCGTATATAGACATGGGTCAAAAATTACCACCCCCATAACTCGGTCAAATCTCTTCCGATTTCCACGAAGCTTGGCGTTTTCTTCATGGTTTTCCTTCTAGATTAAT